CAACCGCACAGATAAATCATAATGTAGAAATGATTGCTCGGTTTACAGAAACACTCCGGGCGCACTCGAACTGTTTTAGAACGTGGAACGTGCTCCAGGAATGTTGACGTCATCTCAAATAGGATCTGCATGATCTGCATGAAACACGTGAACTCAATATCTCTTGTGGCATTTAATTAATACTGTTTAAGAAAAAGCGAACTCGACATGCATACATTTACTTAAATAAATTATAATAATATTGACTACATCATTACTAACTGCCAAATTTATTAAAACCAACAGCATCACTTTACTTCTGCTTTTCCGTAACGTTTCGTAAATTTTTAGTTTTTGTTTACCTTTGAATGAGAGATAGCCTACTTCTCTGGAAAAGGTACAACTGAAAATATTAACATTCCACACAGGAATTTAAGACAAATGTTGGATATGTGTCCCAAAGTGCCTTTTTCAATACTTAACTGCTTTCTGAGTTTGAAAATAATTCTTCAAGTTATTAAGAATACGAATAAGCTATTGTTTATCATGTAGACTATGTTTGCAACCTTTTCCCTTATTAAGTTTTTTCCCTCAATAATGGGTTTATTTGATGCTGCTATGAGTAAGCTATATATATATGTAAGTGTTCCAGCAGTTAATTAGTTTGAATGAAACAAGACTCTAAGTGTCTTACCACCACCTACTGGGTGGTTTTAATTTAATATCTGAACTACATTTTAACTAATAATAATTGACAAATAATTTCTAAATCTAATAATACTGAATTAAAATGCAGTCTTCTTAGTGTTATGTTGGCAATTGAGGCTAAATGCAATAGTACCACTCTCCAACAACACTCCTAGGTCCATCTCTGCACTGATCTTTAAAAATAAGTTTTAGAATGATTAGTTCGATTCACATACCACATTGTTTTTCTGTTTCATTTCACTGTTGCCTCACAGCAAGAAGGTCACTGGTTTGAGTCCCAGTTGGCATTTCTGTGTGAAGTTTGCATCCTCCTGTGTTCATGTGGGTTTCCTTTGGGTGCTCCAGTTACCTCCACAGTAAAAATATATGCCAGAATAGTTGGCGGTTCGTTCTACTTATAAGATTATAAGGTATAAGATTCTGAAGGTATGAAAACCTCGGATATAAATATAATGGTTTCATGGAATTGTAATAACTGTTCTAAAATATGTTCTATTTAAATATCTGGGCTGCACAGTGGCGCAGTAGGTAGCATGATCACTTCACAGCAAGAAGGTTGCTGGTTTGAGCCTCAGCTGGGTCAGTAGGCATTTCTGTGTGGAGTTTGCATGTTCTCCCAATGTTGGCGTGGGTTTCCTCCAGGTGCTCTGGTTTCCCCCACAGTCCAAAAACGTGGTATAGGTAAATTGGGTAGGCTAAATTGTCCCTGGTGTATGTGTGTAATTGAGAGTGTACAGAGGTTTCCCAGTGATGGGTTGCAGCTGGAATGGCATCTGCTGCATACAACATATGCTGGATAAGTTAGCAGTTCATTCCCCAGATTAATAAAAGGACTGTACTGAAAAGAAAATGAAGGAATAAATGAATAAATATTGGGGTAAAAAAACAAAAACTTTTTTCCCCCTTTGAGCACAATTTATTTTTTTTTGAAAAACATTTAAAATATTTTGGAACAGTAAACATATCAGGCTAAATAATTCAATTAAAGCATTGACTTCGTCTGTCTCTTTTTAGATTTTAAAAACACAGATTTCTTTACAATTTCAAATGGTCTCTTTGAATATCTTTTCAGCTGGAGATAACAGTTCTAAAAAGAAAGAAAGAAAAAAAAACCTCACATATACCTTAGAAATGATATGGCATTATAGAAAATATAGAGAATGTTGGCTGTTTTAAAACCATTACTTTTCTAAGCCATAGTATACCTTGAAAACGGTTATCATCCCATGCCTAACTCTGCTGTGGTGACCCCAGAAAAATCAGGGACTAAGCCGAAAGAAAATAAATAAATGAATTTAATAGACCTAATATAATATTAAAATATCCTTACAGTATCTGGAAAAAATGGCTGAGAATTGAGCAGTACAATTTGAATAATAAGAACGGGTTTGTGAATCAGCTGTCCACTGTAAATAATACCAGTAAAACGTCCACAGTTTTTATTTATTAGATGTTCTTCACAACACAAAAAAGTTATAAAATAAATTTCATAAAAAAGTACAGCACCCGTGTAAACATCTGAAATCTTTATTTGACAAATGCTGACGAGTACATGCCAAATTCATCTGCAGTATAAAGACAGCAACACAAAGCATGACACCCAGTTTAAAGTCCTATTTTCTCAGTTCAAGTGAAAATCTGGCTGATCTTTAAGGTTTTGACATGTCAGGTGTTTCACTTTGAATCCAGACAAAAAAAAAAAAAAAAAAAAAAAACAGCCATAGTCACCTGTAGTCACCTTTTAACTGTATATGTAATAACTGTGAGTTCTCTACAAGGAGTTCTGTTTAGGCTGAAGTAAAGATACACTGCGTCAAGTCTAACCCGGCCTCACCCCAAAATTCAAAGCTAAATTACATAACACCAATATCTAACCAATACTGCAAAATGCAATCTGATTGCAATAATATGTGTAGAATCAGTATATTTTGTAACTTTAAATCTGTGCTGTGATAACAAGAAACTGCTTTACCCATTTGCTGTGTGTCAGGGCTCAGTGTTTTGCATGAGAATTGTTGACAGGTCGCTGATTGCAGATAGAGAACCGTATGCTGCAGAAGAAGGTTGTGTATATATTTCTGTATTCACTTAAAAATGTACTATAGTTGTATAACAGGAGTCTCAAACTCAAATTGGCGGAGAACCATATCAGTGACTGACAACAGGAGGGCCGTTTTAACATTCTAGCACACGAAAAAAGTGGAAACCTGATCTAATTGATACACTTAGATATTCTTCCCTAGAGTAAAGCTCCTTCAATTTGTTTTCTTGATGTACATATTGAAGCGGTAGTTTAAATTGCTATAAAAATACTAACATTTTTATAATATGCATATTAATAATTATTTCCCAATCAATTGTTTCTTAACCAAAAGTTTAACAGATATAAGACAGCAGAATGCAGTTTGGGTAACTTTATTGATTTTACTGGCAATTATTCTTCTCTATATCATTATTATTATTTTTTTTTTGTAAAACTACAACAAAGAGGAGAAAAGTATATATTCACTATTTTACTTTAACATGTTTAATTTAGCCAGCGGTAAAATTTTGACCAATGTACATTTTGTACACAATTCTTAATAAACATATTAGGAAAAACTATTCATGAGATTATTTAAATCGAATAGCAAAATTATCATATTTACACCAGTATGTGTAAGCCATGAAGAAGTGTTTGTCCAACAAAATACAGGTGGTATAAAACCCTTGAATATTTACAAAAAAAAAAAAGAGCTTTAATAAAGATAGAGCTCTTACGGACATATATTTCAACGTTTAAATCAACCTCAGAAATAATGTGTGACTCTTGACCGCACACTGAGAGAAACCGAAAGTATCCTAACCCGAATATAGGCTACTGTATAGTAACAGTAACTTAAATGTACAGTAGGTGGGGGTCAAAACCACAAGTGTATGTAAGACTGCACAACAATGATTGAGATTCAAAGATATATGTTTTGTTTAGTTGCGGGCTGGAGGGAGGTGGAAAGTCGGCCACAAATGACCCGCTAGCTGGCAGTTTGAGTCCTCTTCATGGTTGTATAAGAAACTCCACTCTTGCAGCACAAAACATCTCTTAAACCATGACACTTCCTCGCTTAGTCTTAGCCCAGTTTGACAATAAACAAGATTCCCATACCCAAATAGATTAAACTTTGTTTTCATCACTAAGATGAACTTTTTACCCATTCTTTGTCCACACATTGAGTCTAGTGCTTGTTTACATTATGAAAAAGTGAAACGCCCTTACTAAAATAGTCTCTTTCTGTGTATTCTCAGAAAAGTTTGTTTTTAGTGTACCCAACACAAATTTAAAATCATTTCAGAGTACAGCAATTCACTTACGTGGTTTTGTATTCATATTTTGACCACTAATATCAAAGTTTATTTCCATAACAATGCCTTTAGAACACGACAAATCATATTACAATATTATACAGTCAAGCCCAAAATTATTCACACCCCTGGAAAAATTCTGATTTCAAGTTACTTAAAGAAATGTTTTTCTTCAAGAAATATTTTTTTTTCCCCACAATGATGTCTCTTGTACATCATCTTATTATCTTTTAGAAAATGCTTGTTATTTCTGGTCCAAAAATATTGCTGGTTGAATAAAAGTTACTTTAGGACTGAATTTGTCAGAGTTATGAATAATTTTGTGATTTAATTTGGCGTTTGATATTGAAACTGAAATGCTTGGTTTTAAATCACAATAATTCAGTAGGGCCTCTTTTGTGGCAATACAGCGATTCGTCTTAGGAATGTCAGATACAAGTCCTACACAGTGGCCAGGGGATAGTAGGTTATATGTGGGTTATTTTACTGAAACATAACATGATCTGAACACTGTGAAGTTCAAGAAACTCCTGAGAATATAATGAGAATATAATGCTTTAATGCTCACAATATGATAAAAGATTAAAATAGATGGCAACATTTAATTTAGCATTTAACAAAATAAATACAGTTTTCGAAACAAACATGATTATCACAATTGAGGCAATTGACAAGTGAATTTTTAACATGCAAAAGCTGGTTGTGAACAAAAAATGCTGTGATTTATATTTGAAATCTTTAGCCTCATATGACCCCTCCTTTGTAACCACAGCAAAAAAAAAAAAAAAAAAAAAAAAATGGAAAAAAAAAAGATCTGTGCTTTTTTTGTCACTCAGAATAGAATAAATGATGCATTTATGTACTTGACCTTAGAAAATGCCCTCAGTTGTAACCACATCTTCTAATGTTTATATACCAAACAGTCAGCACAGTGTGGGGAATGCGTTTTTCTTCATAGTGTTTCCAGAAAAGTGGTATTTATATGACAATGAAGCTGAGTCAGCTTTATTGAACAACTTTGGGACAAAAAGTTGTGAAGATAAGGGTGAATAAATAATGGCAGAAATTTCTTGTCAGATCAAATTACACAAAACATGATTCAAAGTCTTGTTAAAAACAAAAATGATGAACTGATTTATCCTCTTGGTCTGCTGCATCTCCTGTTAAGGTTTTTTTGTGATGTTGTGCAATTGGGAGCGGCCATGCCCGTGACCATGGCCATGCCCGTCTGATTCCGTAGTGGCAAGCATGGCAACCACGACAGCAAATATAATAACAGCTGAAACCAATACAATGGCAATGAGTCCTTTATTAGCCCGCAGGTACACCAACTTCTGGTTCCCTTTTGGTTTTGCTGGAGATTCCTTACAATTCTTACTCTGAAATTGAAATGGAAATAGAATTGGACGTGAAGATTCTATGTACAGAAATGTAAATAAAGTTTCAACAAATTCTGTGAGTAATCTTCACTTGCTTTTATCTTCAGTTTACACTAGTAATAATATGACTATTACGTGAATGAACCCAAATAGACTGTTCACCTGTTTAGAGCTGCACTATAAATCATTCAACAATGACTTATATACTTAGAAAGCATTTTCAAATGAGATATTCCAACATGCACTGTGATCAAACTAAATTTGATTTTCATTTTAAATGCTTAAAATCTCTAGCTGACAATAGGTAAAGCAAGTGTTTGTAAGATAAAGTGAATAAGATTTTTTAGTATTTTGTGACTGTGCTGTGATCCTTTAAAGAACTCTACAACTATTTTTTTAAATAGACGCCCTGTTTTTTTTTTTTTTTTTTTACTCCTGTAGATTTAAACAATTTAATTTTACCATATTTGAACGCATTCAGCTGATCTCCAGGTCTGGTGGGAGCACTCTTAGCTTAGCAGCACAGATCATTGAATTGAGTTAGACCAGGGCTATTCAATTACAAATTCAGTTGGGCGTAAATTGTCAAACCAAGAAGATTAGTGGGCCAGTCATTTTAGCTGCTTTGTAATGACAAATGTTAAAACCAGGACAAGCACATAATTGAAAAACACAAGGTTTATTTGTTGTTTCTCTTTTAACTTTGGTCAGTTTGCAGAGCAAAAGGTGCATACAAAAAGAGCTGAATTAACAAAACCTGATGCAGCCCCTATTTTTTCTACTTACAAAAGAAAAGAAAAAAACTAACCTAGGCTACAGGTATGTAACCTGTAAATATCACACAACTTGCACACATTTGACCCAGGAACATCTCATAGTGTATAAAATAAAAAGTGCACAGTATTCAACTATATCAACACTGAGGGAACATATTTTAAATCACCATGTGTGATTAGGCATGTCTCTGTTACGCATCCCACATTATATTGATGTATTGTAGGCTAGTTACCCAGCTGATTTAGTGGAAGAAGTGACAATTTTTGTTTTGAACGAGAGCAGTGACTTTAGGCTCATAAGTTGTCAATGCAATTCGAAGGCATTGGTGGAGTTTATGGTCAAGTCAGGGAGCAACGAGAGTTGCTTTTTATGAAGTTCATGTGTGAAAAACATGTATATGTTGATCCAAACATACTGAGCATAATGATCGATACTTTCTTAATGTAAGAGTACTGATGTGCGCTGACATCAGTCCAAAACATTGCAGACTCGTTCGTGCAAAGCTCCTGTGCCATGGTTACAGATGAATGCATGTCAACAAGTTTGAGTGTGAACTTCCCCTCGTCAATGGAAGGGACCAGTTTCTTAGCTCTGGCAGATAAATCCCCTTCTATTACAACAGTGAACGGGTCTCTGACAAAAACGGCCAACTCTGTGGGCAGATCAAGTCCATCCAGTCGACCAGCAAAGTTATTTTTCAACATCGCTATGAAATCTGTCATCACATCCGTGACATGAACAATTATTTGTCAGTCCAGGCAGGGTTAAACTTATGGGTTAACCACGGGCTGGGCCACTTGGAGGTTAATTCTGAATAGCCCTGAGTTCGATCATTAGCATCTTGCTCAAAAATGACCAGAATTTTATGGTTTTCCTATTTAAATCTTGATGCTTCGGCCGCTACATCATGTATTTAGACCCATGAAAAGATAAATGTCAGTATTTTTTCAATGATATTAAGCAGCACCTGATGCACCTGCAATCAGGTAACCTTTGTCAATATAACCTTGTCCCTTAATGTTTTTGTTCAAATTCTCAGCTACCTGATTTGTGAAAACAGTTCCATTCACATTTGACCATATAATTGTGTCTTAAAAAAGTTTCCTTGTCAGATAAACAAAAATTAAATTAAACAAACATATCAAACTGTTTTTAGTGGCAGATTTCTGCAGATTTTTAGCCAATCGTAGTCTTTTTATTTACTTGAGTAAATGCGTGTAAATTTGTATTTATTCTGTTTTTAAATTGATTTCAGGAATATTATTACCATATAAAAATGTTCATTAGGTTTTTTTTTAAATAGAGTTTGTGCAGTAATATTTTCTGTCTTTTAGTAGATATATTATATGAGAGACTTGCTGTTTACCAGATAAGTGGATCTAAAAGGATGAATTTGCCTTGTAACCATTGATAAAAGTTAAAAAGGTATTATTTTGTATTTCATATATTCAGCTTTTAGTTATGATACTCCCAAAATTATTCTGCATAAATATGCAGATTTTTTTTTTTTTTTTTACACAATTCTGCGCAGAAATAGCAAATAATGTCCGCAGATTCTGTCTGGCCCCACTCATAACACATGCATGCTCATGTTTATTATTTTTGTTATTTGGAAGTCAAAACATATGTGGTTTCAATAACCAGATGAATTTTGACCTTTGCAGTCCAGAATGCATGCACTCAGACCACCTCCTGAAGTGGTTTAAACGACTGGATTAATATTAATCTTGACTGAGTTACCGGAGGGCCTTTACACCTGCCTACATTATAATCGCACAGCTAACTAATCAGTAAATGCGCATGTGACCATGTGTAAACAGCTCCAATGTTACCACCTGTTTGTACAGGAAGTGTGAAATAATATGTGCAAAATATCATTACACCTGCTGCAGCCATGGTATGGCAGCAAAGTTCCTTATTATGACTGTAATTCAAGCTATTTAGAAAATAGCAACTTTTCATTTTCTGTCAATCTTAGTATACACTGTAACAAAAGAAGAGTCAAGCTTTTACTACTGTAGGAAAATTCTTGAAACTCTTTGTCAATTGCTAATGCTGAAATCTGAGGTAAAGTCTACATTGGATACGCAACCGACGGGAAGTGCGATAAGCACATCAATATAGCAGCATTTTTTATGACACTATATACCAATAATTATTATTTTTTTTACAGTACTGTGACGGCTGGATTTATGGTTGGGGGTAGGCATTAAAAATACAACTTATTGGGTATTTCAATATATAGCATAAATATTACTCTGTACAATACTGTTTTTATGTTACTGTGATGGTTGGGTTTAGGGCTGGGATGGGGGTAGACGTTAATAAAATACAATAAATAGGAAATTTAATAAATAATCTAAATAATTCTCATTAACTTCCAGCCGCCACCATATCCAATCTAGCAACAACCGAAATCCGATTCAATGATATGCTATACGCTAAGCTAAAAGTGAGACCCAGAGATCAGCTAAGCAGATTAAAAAAAAGGCAAAACTCTTTTTTTTTATTTGTAAATTGAGCCTATTTTCTAAAAAGTTTCTTTAAATAGTTTAGATAAAGATTTTTTTTTTTATTGGTGATTATGATAAAACATTTATAACAATCTTTTTTTTTTGCTGAAAAATAAAGAGTATATAATGGACATGAAAGATTAATAAAATAATAAAGCTGTGTTAGATAAGATAATGTTTTGATTCTTGAAAACCTCTATTCCTAATTGACTCACATGGAAATAATATTGATTCTAAATATAACATGATCATAACATTAGAGAGAGTCATTACTCACAGTGCCCTCAGCTTTTTGAATGGCATCAATGGTTTCTCCTGCTTTATTTGTGTTTCCAAGCATAGCTGCGTTCTCCTCATCTGCCTCACACTTGGCATTCTCAGATTTATCCTAAAACAGATACAAGTGTTGACAAAATTGGGCATGATATGCTTGGTTAGTGTACACATGCTGCATTCTACTGTACCTTTAATGTGCTTTAAATGCACATCACATAAATGATTGGTAATTAGCAAACATTTTTAAGATCCAATAAAATTGCATTGGAAAAAATGCTGTAAACCTCATGTTGAAATGGAGAAAGCAAAACAGGCATACATTTTGTTCCACACTCCCTTACATTTATTAATTTGGCAGACACTTTCATGCAAAGCAACATAAAAATTAATACAACAGAGGTCACCAAAGCAACAAAAGAACATCATGAATTTACTACAATCCCATTTAGATTAAAGGCTTGATGGGAGTTTAAAAATGTGAATTTAGAGCCACTTTTATCTCTCCCTTTAGCTGATTATGATTTTTATGGCTTCATCACCTCTGATTAGCTACTGTTTGACCTGTTAAAAAGTAATTAGATCATACTACTTAGAAAAAGTGAGTAAATCCATTGCTTTAAAGTAGTTGACTTTGCTTACTGAGTAAACCTGTTGTCTTAAAAATTTCAAGTAAACTATTTGTAGACTGTAGTTATAAAAATTGGGTTAAAGTGACTGTAACAGTAGCAAGTTACAATGGGTTTACTAACTTTTAAAAGTAAAGTCAACTAGGCACTTTGAAGGCAGAGGGTTTATTCACCTTCTTAAGTAATTAATGCAAACAAAAGTGAATAAGATTACCAAAAGGTTTGTCCATGTAGCTTTTGTTTCATATCATAACATTTCAGAAAGTTTACAGGAATGTTAGACTCACGTTCTTGAAACAAAGACAATACTGAATTCTGTTGTTTCTATACAGAATTTTCAAGCAAAACTCACCATTCTGCAGCAGTCTCCTGTTGGCTCCTGTATTTGTGCTTGGATCTGAAGATGGAGAAAGACTAAAAGAATAGACAGGTGAGGTGAGAGCAAAGTCCATGTAACGTCACGTCAAGAAGGTGTGCAGCTCAAGGCTCCTCCTTGCTTTGCTTTGGAAGCCCTTCCTCCTCTACGTGCTTCCCCCTTCCAATAATCTGTTGGTGATTCATTGAATTAGACAAATTATACATAACATTTTTAAGAAACAGTGCCTTTTTTAGTTTCCTGTTGAATTTTCAAGAATTTCCAATAGTGGTTTGACTGGTCAAGTATAAATAGTTACAGCAACATTAGTCTTTTTCACATGTTGAGATTCTTAACAGTAGTAATAAATATGGCTTTAGCTGTATATACATAACCAAGGAACAGTGAAAGTCTGTGTATGTGACAACTAATCCAGTGTTTTCTATACTGTAAATAATGATATGGTCAAAGTAATGACAACAACTATGCCAGACAGAATGTGCAGTCATTTTTTACTATTTCTTTGCAGAAATGTTTAACTTATGCACAATAACTTGATAGTATAGTAAATAAAACATTAAAACACGACATGAAACACTTACTTTTTAAAATTTTTTAAACAAGGCAAGTCTCTCATATAATATATCTACTAAAAGACATATAAATAAATAATTATCTGTATAAAATAATCATTAGATAAATCAGATAAACATTTGCATATTATTTAATAATATTACTACCGGTATTAATATAAAAAATGAATATATATAAATATATATATATATACATTTTAGCTTATTGAATATATATATATATATATATATATATATATATATATATATATATATATATATATATATATATTCAATAAGCTAAATTTTTTTTAGAAATTTATGGAAATAATTTCTGCACACAATGATTTCATGTGGGACTAAATAACTTATTAAACCAAGTTAATCATGTTTCTAACTTTTTAAAGTTATACAAGCTGTTTTAAATTAGGTTATAACGACATTCATTCCTTTAATTTGACTCACCTCCCCATAAGTCCTACCTCGTAAAACATTTAAAGAAATAGTTTACTCAAGGTAAAAATGAACATCCTTTATACTCCATCATGTGGTTTTAAACTTTAAGTTTCTTTCTTTTGTAGAACACAAGATAATATATTTTAAGGTATGCTGGTAGCTTGTACTCATCCACATCCATCGTATGAAAAAAGTTAACAGGAATCAACATTTTTCATGTCAACTTTTGTGTTTAAAGCAGGGGTGCCCATATTCAGTCTTGGAGGGCCGGTGTCCTGCAAAGTTTAGTTCCAACCCCAATTAGACACACCTGAACTTGTTACTTAAGCTGTTTCTAGGTATACTAGAAACTTCCAGGCAGTGTGTTGAAGGAAGTTGGAGCTAAACTATGCAGGACACTGGCCCTACAGGACCGAGTTTGGGCAGCCCTGGTTTAAAGGAAGAAAGAAACTCAAAAAGGTTGAAAAGAGTAAATGATAGAATTTACAAATTTGGGTGAACTATTCCTTTAAACCAGAGGTGAGCAAACTGGGTCCTGGAGGGCCGGTGTCCTGCATAGTTTAGCTGCAACACTAATCAAACACACCTGAACATGCTAATCAGTGCCTTCAAGATCACTAAATCTATAAGCAGGTGTGTGTGATTAGAGTTGGAGCTAAACTGCCAAAACTGTAAGACTTGCTTTGTTAACCAAATAAGTATATCTGATTGGATTTGAATTGTAAACATTAAATAAAAGTAAAAAAAAAATATTATTTTTATTTTATATATTCAGTTTTTTGTTATGATACTCTCAAAATCATTCCGCATAAATGTGCTGATTTTTTTACACAATTCTCAGCAAAAATGTCTACAGATTCTGTCTGGCCATAACTATCGCTTTAAACACTGTGGTGCAAAATGCTTTATGCATGATGTCACCTCAAATATTTAATCAGAAAAATACTGCAGATATTCTGCATTTAAGTGATTTATATGAATTATTTATTGTGTTCAGTAGATCTCAAAAATGCAACTTACTCAGAATAAATTAGAATTTGAAATAATAGTTGTCTTGGAGCTACAGACAAGACCTTATCAAACCAACAGCAATAGAGTATATGCAGAAGTATGCTAAAGAACTTTTAATTTGCCTGTAACCTGGGTTAAGCGTTTCTGGGGAACTGTATGTCATTGCAAAATCGGTGCATATATTTTGCAATATATAAGGTCTGTTTTCTTTAAAAATCAGCGATATCCACTGGATGAGTAATATTCGATATAAAGTGGGTCTCAGATTGTACAAGAAGCACTGCATTAAATTACATTTTTTCCGCCATGTCTTCATAATATGAGCATTTATTTTACCCCAGTATATGCAATAAAGCTTCTGCGCTAGCCTGCTGATTCTAATGGACACGTACAAGTAAATGACTTTTTTTGTCTTGTTTTACGTTGGAGCAACTAAATGAATGTCAAAGTCTTTTTAACTGATTGTATTTTATTTACATTATAACATCAATGGTGTAAAAAGGAACCGTAAAAAATGGAAAAAAGTCACATTAACCGTTCACTGGAAGTTTATCAGTCTGGGAAAAAAACATTACCTCGGCATAATAACTTACTATAATGCAAATAGTTGTAATAAAATATGCTAACTATTTTTATACTTTATGCAGTTTTAGGTCTTTTTGGCTACTGCTCCGATCCAGCTACAAACCCACACTCACACATTTGGCCACTAGATCCAGGCCAGGCTCTGCCATATGGTAGGCCTAATGATGGATAATTTTTTATCATTAAATGAGCCATCCTAAGAATTTCTACATATAGAAATTATAATTACAATAATTATATTTACAGTATTTATTAACTATACACAAAATATTACAAATACATAATTTCATTTACACGGGGATCTTGTGGCCTGAAACCAAACCCTGAAACATGTGGGTCTGCGCGTCTGATGCTGCCTGCATGCTATTGGAATGTCGTCCACTAGTTGGCGCAAGTGTAGCCAAGTGACAGGTTAATGAGTCCATCATCTGCAGGTTTGGCGCTTCAGAAAGTGTTACCCTAAAACGCATGCACAATGTCAACAAACGGCAAGACCCCGAGAATACTACAGTTTGTGGCTCCAGATGAGCGTCGTCAGTTTGGAATTGAGGTAACAGTACATTAGCATGTGAGCTACTTAATAAAAAAGAAATGGATCAGTTTACAACAAAACGCGCTAGCAAACAACTCCATTTTCTTTAAATTATTTAAACATGCATGAACGTTCTGTTAAAAATCTATACAACGCACAAATGTCAAGTTCCAGAATGCACAAACGTGTAAATAGTGTTCCGTCATGTGTCGTTATGAAGGCCAGGGTTGGAGTTGGCAGAACATGATAATTCAGAACGCTGTCCTAAAATCATAGGCCTAGCCCTAAAACTTTCATTCATTCATTTATTCATTTCCTTCGTCTTAATTTTATATATATATATATATATATATATATATATATATATATATATATATATATATATATATATATATATATATATATATATATATATATATATATATATATATATATATATATATATTTGTTGTGAAGTTTGCGTGTTCTCCCCGTGTTTCCTCCGGGTGCTCCAGTTTCCCCCACAAGTCTTCAAACATGTGCTTAAAGTGAATTGGGTAAGATCGAGGTGTATGTGTGTAAATAAGTGTGAATGTTTGCCAGTAATGGGTTGCAGCTTGGAAGGGCATCCGCTGTGTAAAATATATGCTGGATAAGTTGGCAGTTCATTCCGCTGTAGTGACCCCTGATTAATAAAGGCACTAAGCTGAAAAGAAAATGAGTGAATGAAAGATTTTTTGCTGAGGGACATGGGTGCTTCTCTTTAAGATGCATTAAATTAGAAAATATTATTTAAAATGCATAAATTGTTGGTATTTGTAATCATTTCATTTTATTTTTTCCTCTTAGACCCCTTTTCAGCGTCTGGCTCCACAAATGCAAGACATATTAGGGGATGGAGGAGTCCTTAAAGAGGTCATCCATGAAGGAGAAGGGCCACCTGTATCAATGCATGCTTCAGTATCAAGTAAATTACGTTAAACATTGTTTCTCATTTATGACTTTCAAGTAGTATCAAGGCTCAACATTAAGAACTGCCTGATGGCCAGGGGCCAGCATGAGAGAAGCTAGGGACAATTGACAGAATTGTTACTGGCCCGATCAGTGCTGCCTCGCCATTAAAGTTTAATTTGCCTGCAACTATTTGTCAATTGCATGCAGATTTAAAATATAAAAATAATGTCTTAGAATCGATACAGTGCTTTTAAGACTTTAAATACCATTTTCTCTGTCATGTCTTAAACACAATATTACTTTTTGGTTCCTCATATCTGATTGGATGTTGTAAGCATGTTTTTTTTTTCCTTAACCTGGTAACAACCAGTATAGCAAAGAGACAGAAACATTGCTGCAACATCATATTATGAGGCTAAAAGAAAACGTCTGTATCTAACATACTGGAAGCAGACATTTACATGAGTACGACATGCCGTCAATTTGGCAACTCAGCCATCTTTTGTTAAATAATTTAGAACTGCAATAAAATACCTGCACATTTTCCATGGTGCTCTTTTTGTTTGCATAACACTTTAAATTTGACTCATTATACAGTTATTAACATTTTTTTTAAATATTTAAATTTTAGATTCTTAAGTTTTGACACATTATTTAAAATATGTAGCTAAGAAATAGGTAACTCATAGGTAAGTTAAGGTAACTCAAACTATTTGAGAAAACAGACAAACCATTTGAGTTAAAAAACTAATCTAAATGAGTACTGTGAACTTAATTAATTTCAGTAAATCAAGCAATTTAAGCACAGTAAAACCCGATAAATGAAGAGAACTCAAACTAACTGAGTACTAGTGAAACCATTTGAGTTAAAAAAAACGAATCTTTATGAGTACTTTGAACTTACTCCATTTAAGTTGAAGTAATGAGGTATTAGAATAGTTCAAAACGCCTTTCAAATGAGTAAAATGAACTTTAAATCAATTTTGAGTTATCTACACTACACTTTTTATTTATTTATTTATTTTATATTTTTTGTGGGGCCAGTGAAAATTTTGGCCAGTAGAAAGAAATCATTAGTGTTGAACCCTGAGTACCTACCTTTTTTCACACTACTGTGGTTTTATATTATGTAAAAGCGTAAATTAGTCTTATTTTCCATGCAAAGCATCGTTTGGCATAGGAAAAAAGTCAGTAGAAAAAAATTATTCCTAAAGTATTTAGCAGTTTGAAATATTGGGGCCTGTGAGACTAATAATGTTTTTGAAAAAATACTTTTTTTAAAAGACAATTTAAGTCCGTTAAGTCAAACTATTAAAATATATGCTGTAAGTGTATTAAATGCAAAGCTCTGTCATGAACTTTGAATGTGTCCCATTCAATCTGCTTGCATCCCTAATTATTTACATGGTGCAGGTGATAGGTTGCGGTCACCTCAGCAGCCAATGAGCTTAAACCTGTGGGTGTTTCTTAGCACTAGAGGTTGTGCTCTCATGACTGGGTTGATGGTTCATTTGATGGTTCATTCCTCTGTGGCGAGCCCTTATAAATCTGGGACTAAGCTAAAGTAGTGATGAGAACAGATTCTTTTTTCAAAAACTTTGTTATTTTCTTGAACTTTAAAATTGTACATCTTTTTGTAAACTCATATGTCACTTGTGATCGGTTTATTGTGCGCTTGCTGAAAAAAATGTATAATTTCTTTCTTACACTTTTTAATTGGTTGTGTCTGTACCTTTATATCATGTTCTCTTTGGTTTGTTAGCTACTCATTTCAAGACCTCATTTCATCCACAGTTAATTTCTCTGGTTTCATCGAGTACACTGACGCACCATTTGAGACAACCAACCACCTTAAATATCCACGAATGATGAAGCTTGGTAAAGGTAGGATGGGATTGTAACTCTCCCATTAGAATGGGTAGACATCAAGATTCTCCATTAAATTCTCTTTGCCCTGTAAGGAGTCATTCATACCTTTTTCCCCATAGATGTCACTTTGTATGGCCTAGAGCTTGGTCTTCTTACTATGAAGAAAGGCGAGTTCTCCCGTTTTCTCTTCAAGCCTAAATATGCCTATGGGGACTTGGGCTGTCCTCCTCACATCCCTCCATGTGCCACAGTCCTCTATGAGGTGCAAGTCCTTGATTTCCTGGACTCAGCACAAGTGGATGATTTCATGGATTTGACTTTGGTAAGATTTAATGCAGTAAGCTTGGTAATTTTGCTTTGTTTGTGGTGTCTGAGATAGTAATTTTTAATATTGGTTTCAGGAAGAGCAGAATACCGCCCCTTTGTCTGTTTTGCTAAATGTGCTGGACACACAGCGGAGCTTCGGCAACCTCTGCTTCAATAAGAAACGCTATGAAGATGCTCGAGAGAGATACAAGCAGGTTTCATGCTTTTTCACTTCTTTTTGTAAATGGATGGAGGAAAAAGCCTATCATCAAAACTTGTGGTTTATTTTAAAAATTAGCTCCTGTTGGTCTCTGCTACAGGCCATGACACTTCTGCAGAATCGTGAACCAGAGGATGCTGAAGAGAAGAAGCATCTTGAGGAAATTAAATTGCCTTTTCTGCTCAATCTGTCATTCACATACCTCAAACTGGAAAAACCACAGAAAGCCCTTTTGTATGGTCAGAAAGCACTGGACATCAACCCTCAGAACACTAAAGCACTCTTCCGCTGTGGCCAGGTGCGACATACTGTCTTTTATATGAAATATAATATACTGAAATTGATTTTTTTTTTTTTGTGAAAAATATTACAGTGTGAATAATTTACCAAGATAGTACGAATAGCATTATTTGATGGTTTTCTCAGGAATCTAATAGTATTCAGGTACAGACATTGAATAAAATGCTTTTCTTAAATGCTTTGTATCGTTTTAATATATATAAAAAATGTCATCAAGTAAAAATATTGTTTTGTTATCAACTTCAGAAGAAATGTTAAAATTAGGAGTTTTTATTTTTTAAAAACTGTTTTCAGTTATGACTGACTTTATTATACACAAGTGGAGATTTGTCTTTGGCTTCGCCACATTATCACATCATATGTCATGTAAATTAATTTATTAATGAACATGACTTATTAATAGAGCTGTTAGTTTTAAAATAAGAAAATAAAATCATCTGAAATTTGACTTAAATAAAAAAATAAACACTTTGGAATAAAATAATAAAATGTGATCAGATAATATGATCGTTTATTTATTAATACAAAGTGTGATTCACACCTAAAAATATTCAAACCTTATTAAAATAATTAAACAAATTAAAACAAGGCAATTAATTAAATTAGATTAAAAAGGCAAAAAAATTAGATTGAATTTTAAAATCAAGGATACCTTTCATAAGGCATTAAGAAAAATCTTGAGTTCCGTTCTGCTGCTGTAATTTATCAGTTTTTGAGGACATCTTTTGTGAATTCTTTTAAATTTAAACTTAAAATACTTTAAACTTTAAACTTAAAATAACTAAATAACTTGACATGCTATTTGTTATTGAGCACATAAAATAATTTAAGTGTAGATTAATAGGTTAATTTGATGATGTTTAGCTGGCTGAAACAAAATCCAATTAGGTCTTTTATAGTTTTGCTTAATATTTATTCAGTTTACCAATGACTTCTCATTTATCACATTAGAAGCTTTCATTTTTAACATTATTTGTATTTTTTTGTCTTCATTTGTCATTTTTTTTTTTATTCTTTCCTAAAAACACAAATCAGGCCTGTTTGGAGATGAAGGACTATGAGAAAGCACAAGACTACCTTACACTTGCTCAGGCAAAAAAACCATTTGACCCTGATATCAACACCTTGCTGATAAAGCTTGCTCAGTAAGTTTTCCTTATTCTCTTATAGTTTTACCAACTCTTTTACATATGCGACAGCTAAACATATCTACCAATCATTTAACAGCTGCTACAAGGCCTATTTGGACAAAGAGAAAGATATATGCACCAAGATGTTCTCAGGATTTAAGCAAACAGAAAAGTGTCAGAGAAAAAATCTTGCAGTGTCTGATGTGGTGCTCTAAAATCCCCCAATTGACCACAAGTGGGCAGTGTAAACCAAGCTAAATGTCATGTTGGTGTGAGTTCCCAACATTGTCTAAAACATTGTCATACTTTTAATTGACTTTAGTTCTATTTTATTTTGTTTTATTTCTGTTTTTATATATATATATAATTTGTTTTTCAGTTTTTTCCTATAACCATGTTCTCTATTTATTTTTATAGGCAATACAATGCATGTTCTGGCTAATTTTTATATTTTCCTTAAAGGTTTCACACTAATTTG